CAGGCCCTCCTGTCCTTCACTGCCTCCCTGACTTTGCTCCGTTTCATGTTCATTGCTTCGGTGATGCTATCTAACCATCTCATCCTCTGCCGTCCCCTTCCCCTTTGGCCACATCATCACAACATCATGATTTTACATAGATGTAAACGTCACCATCTGCATTTTTGCTTTTTATTTCCCATTAACTTTACTGCTTATATCCTCCCCACAAATACTCTATCCATCTACCCATCCATCTAGTATAATAGTCCATGTTGTGATGAACTGAAGCCTGTGCCACAATAAACATATTATTATTCTTCAAGATGCCCCACATTTTGCTTTTGTTGCAACACATTAACATAACTATCTCTCTGGAGCCATTACCTGACCATTCTATATGTTACATGAAAACTTTACATTGGAAAGCAAACACACATAAACACAAAAGTCCAAGTATTATTTGTATTTAATCTTGAGAGGTTCCAAACAATGTTTGCACTACCTCCATCCCCTCTTCCCGACCTCACAGCAACACACATAAGAGTCCCCTACAGTTGGGTGGCCAATAAATTTAAATAAATAAATATCAGTTCCTAAAGAGATCAAATGCTGTCTCTAAACATCACTCAGACAAAAGGAAACAATTTACAAAACAAAGGTTGACATAAATATATAGAGAACCTAAGATTATACAGTTGCTGATTTTTTGCAGGTGAATTTAACAAGAAAAGCAGAGAATGTCATAGGATAAAAAAAAAATCTACTTCCTTCAAAACAATAAAAGGTATAGTAGCAAAATGAACTGTTTTATTTTATCACAAGAACACATCACAAATAAACCAGAGAATTGCTCTTCATCAGGAACAAATTAAATAGTAATTATTGTCATCTTCAAAGAAATTAGCACTCATTCCCTTCAATTCATTATATAAAGGTGGCAAAAAACAGTTTCTCCCAACCAGCCTGAATCTTGGAAATTTGATTGCTTTTTGATTTACCACCATCTTTCAAAATGCTATTAACAAAAAGGATTCCTGTCAGTTGGCAATCAAAGATAATCCACAAAGACCAGTAATTTCCAAATACTGGCACCCCTTGCTGTGACATAATTCTCACTGCCTGAATCTTGCTGTTCATTTTGCCAAATTTTTTTTTCTTTAAATTGATTTAATTTCTGTGTGCTGCATAGACTAAAATCTTTCATGTTTCTTCATTTGGGTTATTCCCCTAACCAAAGTACAAACATATAGGGCAGTTTGAAGTAGTATTTTTCTTAAAGGTTTTTAAGCATGTTTATCTTAAATTTTTGTGTATGACGATTTCTTATATGTGGCAACACAGTTTACAGCATACTGCATCAGTTCATGTTATTACATAAGATTCCTGTGGAAGAAGAAAGAGTCAACAAGCACTATTGTTAAGTGGAAAATAGATGTAGGTAAACAAAGGCAGATCGATAGCTAGATCTTCTATAATAAAAGAAACTTTTTTTTTCTTTAATTTCCCTATCGTTTCCATAATTTAGCTCGCATGGTTTAGAATTTAGAAGGATTTAAGATGACAATCTTTAGGGAACATGGTTTAGGATTTAGGATTTAGAAGGATTTAAGATGACAGTCTTAAGGGAACATGGAGACAAGCCTTCTCACTGACAGCCCTGCTTCTTTGGAACAGAAGACCTCTGAAATTGGACTCCTCTCTGCCCTTTCTTTCCTTTTAGGAAAGCCATTAAGACATGGCTGTCCTAGAGAGCCTTGGGAGGTGAAATGGCTTTGAGAAGTAGATTCCTCTAGTTATGGCTTTTTTTTTTCTGTTTGTAATTTTGAATGTTCCTTGAGCGCCAGAGTGACTGAATTTGTAATTTAATTGTATCGTGCTGCTTTGTTTCTAGACTCCTTACTGTGAGAAAGTCTGTATGTGCTCAGAGTCTTTGACCCCAATGTGGCATATAAGCCCCAGGGAATAAATAACGGCATACTGCATCAGTATCAGTATCATTATAAAACAAATGCTAGATTCCTTTTTGTAAAATCCATTTTTGTTCTGAACTCCTATGGTACTGGGTTCTGGCTAGAAGATGGTGGTATTCAATGTACAAGTTCAATATAATTACACAAATATGATTGAAAAGTGTCATATGGCTTTGATGTTATGAGTGATATTAGCCAGTTATTTTTTCCCATTCCTCATTCTCAGTATCACTTGACACCTAAATTAAAGAAATGAAAATAGTAATTTTTTCTTTGTGTAAAAATGGAACACATACGGATAATAAGATGTAATATAACCTAAATCCTTCATGTTTGTCTTTTGCTCATGAAACTAAAGAAAGAGGAATCTTCTGTTTCATTCTTCTGAGAAGATAAATGGTGATGTTTCACCAACAGACTACTATCCATCACTAGAAATTATTCATTTTGTCTCTAAAACCTATCATGTGCCCTCCTAATCTGCTCTCAAATGTTGGAGGATACTTCAGAGCAGATCTGAGACTGCAGGAGTTTGCAGAGATGGAAGAGGAAGCTCTGTCATGAGTGGAAATTTATTGACATGATGAATATCAACCCTGTGCTATTTACATTTTTCAGAATACCCTAAAATACAAGTAAATTGAATGAAATAAAGTTATCACTTGTATAAGTACTTTTATTAAGGTCATTGGGCTAGTGAAGTATAGAGTTCTTCAAATGTATTTAGTGTAGCAAAGCACAAAGTGGGGGAAGTTCCATTCAACAGAACAATTGTTCAACACAACAGCTGTGGAACAGAACTGGGCTCCGTGCTGTTTTCAGCAATATTTCATCAGTCCATGAACAGATGCACTGAATTAAAAACAAACACAGAGGAAAAATAGAAGGATGGAAATCACAAGAGGCTTTGGGTTACACTAATGAGGTAGCTTTAATAATAGGTTTAGTGCTGCTACTAAAGTTTGCAAATCCACATTAAATACAGAGGTTGTGAGAAACTCAGATATTATTCAGAAAATTTCATCAACCTTATTTAGCCACAATAATTTTGTTACACACATTTATCTCCAGAATTCTATTCTGCCTTTCTTAATGATAACTACTCAGTTTATACTCTCATTATATTTGCATTTTTAAGCCGGGTCCCACTGTGTGCCTTCTCTCACTTTACATTGTTTCTTCTTTCATTTTTTCTACCTTATGGAACTACCAAATATTTTCCACAACTATCTATTTGGAAGCAGCCTCAGATTATTTCCTTAATGTTTGTTTAAGCCAAACTTTTCCACATTTTATGAACTGTGTTTACAAGGCTTAAGTAAATATATCTCGGTCTTGCCTTCCAGGATTATGTGCAAGCAGTACGTAACAATCAGCAGATTCAATGACTTTTGTAACCTACCCGGCTTTTTCTGGGATGTGGGTGACCCAAAACTAAAAATGGAGACTTCTGGGAGATTTTGAACCACTCAGTTGCACAGGAGCTAAAAGGTTGCATTGTCACAAAATCAGCCACAAGGGGAAGAAAATTCACCAGGAACTAATTGTCCAAAGCATTCATACTGGGATTCCCTACCCAGTACTTTCTTTCTCTTCCCCCCACCCCCTCTCTCTCTCTGTTTGGCAGCATGTTTTTTTTTCTCCATCCTCCCATTTCACCAATTTGGGGAAAAATAATGGTAGGAGGCACTGAACATAGTCATAGATAAGTAGTTAGGGCTACCAGATTTCAAGGTCCCAAAACAAGATATTTGCATATTAATTTGCATATCAAATTTAATCACTTAGTCCCAAAAATTTCTGTTCATATCTTAAGTTGGGTTTTGTTATTTTTTTCAATCAAGTATAACTCTTTTAAAAACAAAAACTCTTTATTCAGTGTATTTAGCAAATAATACAAGCACATCCCCTAAGTGGCCACCTGAAGTGTTCAAGGAACCCCAAAAATGGAGGACAAGACTTAACAGAGCAAATTGAAACATGTTGTAATTTCTGATACAGCTGAAGCAATATGCAAATGTATATAAATAATTAAAATTAAGAAACTCAAAGTCCTTTTGTTTTTTCCTGTTGTGCCCATGGTATTTCTTCTTAGAGAAGTCTGTTGTAGTAGAGTTGGATTGTGAGAGACAAATCTTTAGTTTCAGTTTTCAACAAAGGCTCCAGTAAGTATTTTAAGAGGTGTTTGTCCCACTGGTACATTTGCCACTTTGATGAGCCAGATGGAAACTGGATCCTAATCCAGGAAGGACCAAATGGAGCACAACTGAAATCCTCCATTCTTGAGGATCCTGTACCTCAAGAGGCTGAGGCCAACCAAGATCTTGGCTAACCAGTTGGACCACTGGAGGATGGTCAATGCTTGACATGGGCTGCAAAAATAACTTCAGGAGACAGGAGGAAGAGCCGCATCCAGGGCAACAGTCAGACAAGTGGTATTTCAGCCCATAGAAGGGAGGGGGGAGAGAAAGTGTCTCAGAAGGGACCCTCCCTGGTTCTCTGGAAAGTAATGGCAGGGGAGGGGGCAAGTGCTTTCAGATTTGCAAGATTCTGTTACTGTAACTTTACAATAAGGTAATGTTAGTACTCATGGTTTTGGTTTCCTGACTGGATTACCTCGAAGGCCTGATAATGCTACCTCTTCCCTCTACTTGCTAAGCTCACTAAGGTCCCTCAGGTCAATTTTGAGAGCCCCTTCTTTTGCAGACGCCCAAAATTTTGGCAACACAAGTTGCTTTTGCTGGCTCTTTGCTGCTGCTCTTTACAGGCACCACTTCCCAGACTATGTAGATTTCTGCTTTCAGTGCTAGACTTTTTTTGCCAGACAGAGATAGTGCTGGAGCCTCCTGGGTGGGTGGCAGGGGGGAGAGCAGATGGTGTGAGTCTTGTCACCTCATCCAGCTTGGAAGAGGGTGCGGGAAAAGCC